ACTAATAAAAAGGAAATTTGAGAGGGAGGCACTTGTCCACCCTGGCCTATGCCTCCCTCCTCCCATGCTTGACAGACTAAAGTTATTATAAGTCCATTATATGGTGGTTGAGTTTATAATTATGTTGTGTTATTGGATTGAGTTATAGTAGAGACAATAAATATGTTAGTCTTATAAATGAATAAGATTTTATTTATTACTTAAATATTGTAAATTTCAATGGGTTATGTTAGTATTTATTTATTTTTTTTAGAGGCATTTGTGTATATATACTGTTGTTTTGGGAAGTTTTTATATATTTTGATGACAGTTCCATTAATATGGAGGATATGATCGACGATATATTTTGAGTCATTTTTTAAAAAAAATTGATATAAATATTTTTAGGTTATTCTTTTTAAATTTGGGCAATTGTTTAAGATTTTATTGTTTATTGTATAATGCATTTAGAGCCGGGTAATGACTAGTATATAAAATAAAGTAACTAAAATAATACAAAAAAATATATAATAAAGTAGTTAGATTACTTTGTCTTTAGCTTTTCGCGACTCAGATTGCTTGAAAAATTATTAATCCGACAGTCCTAATACGAAATTTCCTCCCCCTTCCCAAATTTTTTGAGCAACACTTTCATTCTTCCACAATTCTAAGACTCTTATATCTTTTATAACTCTTTATCTCACTCTATCTCATACTACACATTAATTAGGACGTTAATTATGATTTTAATTAAAGATTATTTTTAAAAATTTCAAATAAACAAATGGATTTTAAATACAGATTCTTTGCGTCAAAACGAGTCGAATAACTATAATATAGGTCATATTTTGTATTGAAATAAATATGCTATAATATTCGAATGGTATAATAGACGAATTATATATATGTAATTTGTGATATGTCTATATAGTAAGGGAGTTAGCATTATTTGTCTTTAGTTTTTCGCAACTCAGATTGTTTTAAGAATATTGATCAAACGATGAAATTCTTCCTTTAAATTTTTTTCCTACCAAAAAATTACAAGAATTTTTCCATTTGACTCGATAATCGATTCAAAGTCGTTATGATTAGAATTCAAATTAAGCTGAATTTAATTATGGGTTCTTATAGGGTCTTGGTCCCTCGGCCTCAGCCTCCTCGTTTGGTTGCTTGGACTCGTCCTGTAGCGAGTTACTTGAAGATTAGTGTTGATGGATGTTCTAAAAGCAATCTGGGGTTGTCCGTGGTAGGGAGTGTTATTCGGGACCACTAGGGTCGGGTTCTTAGGGTTTTTGGCTTGTTTCTGGAACGTCAGCCTATTTTGTATGCGAAGCTACAAGCTGTTTGTGCGGGGTTGGAGTTAGCCACATATTTGGGAACTCCAGAGTTGGTAGTGGAGTCAGATTCAGTGACATTGGTTTCTTGGATATTTTCTCAGGGTACTGGGTTTAGGCATATCAGCTTGCTCGAATTCGGCGTCTGAGTGCTTCTCTCTCGGCTCACGTTTGCCATGTCTTGCGAAAGGCGAATCAGGCTACAGATTTCATAGCTAATTGGATTTGTTCTCAGTAGCTCAACCAGTAATTTCCTGATTCGTTATCCATTCCTTCTGGAATTGCTGGTATCCTTACCTTAGACGCTTGACAGATTTCTCATGTTCGTCGATGAGTTTTAATTTTATTTATGTTTTCAGTTATTTTGCTCTGTGGGGAGTCCCCACTTTATGTTTATTTATTTTTCATGTTTTTTTGTGGTGAGTCACCACCTTACCGTCCTCCCACTTTGTACTTCTAGAGGCTTGGCCTTATGTCATCCTCCCTTATACTTTCTTCCTTTTAGTTATATACCAAACCCCTCACCCACACTGGGTGGCTTTGAATAAAAAAGAAAATGGTCGAGTATAAAGTATATATTTTTACTTAACTTTGCTTGAATTTTACGAGTATCCAAGTTGAAATCAAATTAAAATTTATTGTAAAAATAATAAAGAATAAATAAATTCAAAAAAAAAAGGAAAAAGTTATGGCATCACAGTGAACGGGAATAAATAAGAATTAGTTTATACGTTTAAGATAAAAGTGTTAATTGAATTGAACTTAAATTCAATTCTCAGTTTGACATAATTATATATGATTAAGACTCAAATTGAACTAAATTTGACTTTGAGTATAAAGTATAAACTCCTGCTTAAACTTAAAGGGTAGGGTTATTCTCACCCCCCAAATCTCCATTCCTACCTTATTTAATTTCTCATCATCAAACTACTAAGTGCACATTTTCTATACTCACCTCATTATTAACTAAGCTTCCCCCTTGCTATATACACCCCATTTAAAATGAAAAGAAGGAAACAAAGAAAAAAAAAGCCAACTGAAACAAGAAGGAAACAAAAAAGACCAAGTAAAGATTAAAGGAATAAGCACAACTACAAAGCGCAAAACCACAAGACACAAAACTAGACATGAAAAAAAAAAGTATCAAGTACAAACACAAAATCGAATAAGAAAAAAAGATAACAAGCATATATGCAAAACCTAAATAAGATAAAAAAAATAAAAAATCATCTGAAAACATATATATGTATACGCACATATAAATTTTAAATAAAAAATTATTAAACTGACAGAGATATTAAAATATACCAAAAATAATAAAAATTCATACAACAAACACAAAATCAAACATAGAATTAAATTGGGAAGTAATACTAATATGTATCTCAGTAAAAAAATTCATATTGAAAAAGTATATTTGTAAATACATGAGATGAAATAGATAATGAAATCATAATTATGATAAAATATAAGGTGAGTTTACTTATTAAATTGGGTGTATGTAGCATGCAGTGAACTTAGTTATTAATGAGTGGATATAAAAGAGATAGACTTAATAGAGTGATAATGAAAAAATAAAAGGGATTAGGAATGGAGATATGTGGGGTGGGAATAGCCCCGCTCAAACTTAAATTTGATTGAATTTTACGAATATTTAAGTTGAGTTCAAATGGAAACTAATTTTAATTTCTCAACATTTTTTCTAATTTACGAGAATTCACGTGAAATTTGCGAATATTTTCCTCACAAAAGTTACACAATCTCACATTGGAAAAATGGTGCAGAGATAATGTTATGAACTTTAAGTAAAAACCTGCAGAAAAATAAATAATTATATTTTTTAAAAAAATTTGAGATAAAGTTTATTAAAAATGTTAAAATTGTGGATGTTTGATTAATAATAATTATATTTTCTCAGATTTTTGAATTAATATGTTACAGTAGTTGTAGCGTAACTTTTGTTATATAAAAGTTTGATTATAAATGTTCTACATATAGGTGGAATAATATCAATTTGATCGTTGTACTGTTGAAATTGTATTATGTATTATCTTTATTTAGGAAAAATATTTATAATTTTTTACGAATAACATAGTACTTTCATGCATGAACAATTTTACAAGTAATTTAATAATGAACATATTTTATCAAACATCATACTACAGTCGTATGAGTCTGAGAAGACTAACAAGTACAAAGCCAAGTACCACCTCTAAAACGGTCTAACCTTTGGAGGAGTGGATGTGAATTTATCAATCAACCTGAACCTCTTGTCGCAATCGTTATGGTGTTTAGTCAAAATATTCATTTGTCAACTTATGCGTCTTCATTAAAAAAAAAAAACCACCAAGGCCATTTGTATCTAAAAATTGAACTAAACCACTGAAAATGTGAATTTGACATGATGATTGTTTAGTATTATTATAATTGTTAGGTTTTCTCATTAAGACTCCACCATATAACACATCATTATTTTGTCAATAAATTCAATGGATTTTTAAGTTTGATAGCTTTGCTCATAACAATCAAAGAATTGCTGTTGAAGAATTATTGTGATAGTTCTATTCACTTCAAAGAATTAAAGCTAAAGGGTATCAACTTATTACATTATGGGTTAGATTGCAAATTAGTCTAGTGAGTTTACTGCAAAATAGGATCGCTTGGGATCAAGTCAATAATGTTGGGATCGATTCTAATTTTTTTTGTGATTCTTTTAAAGATTAATTGTTTATTTTGAATAACAATTTGGACATGAAATTCAAGAGTCTTAGCCCTCACAACTAATTCCCATGGTCAAATGACTAAAAAAATAGAGGAAATTATGTTTTAAATTAAAATATGCCATTCTCTTCCGTTACGTTGATGAAATAGGTCCACAAGATATTATGAACATTTTTCCTTTCACCCAAAACTGTTTTTCATTGCCTGAAATTGCATGCCTCGTCCCACTATATAAGATATATGTGAACAGCAAAGTATTTTCTCTTTCATTATACATAAAGCCACCTATATCATATCAGGAGTCAGCGCACTCACGAGTCCTTGTGCAGATAAGCAGAAAGAAAAAGATGCGAGTGAAAAAAATTTTAAATAGATAAATTTAGATCATTAATATAGTTAGACAGAAAATTTAGATGGTTAATTGTGGTTAAAGAGTAAATAATAGGTAGTTATGAGTGAACATTTGAAAAAAAAATGAAGGGCAATAATGACATTTTATAAACAAGACAATTAAATATAGTGAAAGGGGGAGCTATAAGTGATGATTATGATCATCCTATTTAGACACTACTAGATTTTCATATTTGCTATCAAATCACTAATAAAACTATTCAAAGTTTATTGAGACTCTTTCAATTTTATTTGAGCTTCTCACATGTAATTATCCAACAAAATCCCCCTCATATGTGAACCATATGAGAAAAACCTCTCCCTGGATTTTCATCTACTTATTCTCTTCAAGTCTCACATGCAAATCTGCCCTTATGAGTTACCACAATCCTCTGTATCTTTCAAGAGTTTACATCTTGGCTCGCATCTTTTATTTGCGTCTACCCTTGTCTTCCCTGCTCTTGGAAGGACTCAACGATCAATCGCTTCACCAATCTATCTAGCAAAGTCTAGAGTAAATCTATGTACGACACACCAAATCAATACTTGGTGGATGCTGACCCAATATATGCCAAACTATGGTCTTAACATGGCTACAACTCTAAGAATCCAAATTTTTGAAGAACCTCCTTCACTATCGGTGCACTCCATCACTCGAAGAGTTCCACACAAAACATTAGTCATCCAAATTCTTGAAGAACCTCCTTCACTATCGGTGCACTCCATCACTCGAAGAGTTCCACAGAAAGCATTAGTCATCTATCATGTGATATTTGTTCGAGATCCAAACACTTAATCAAAAAATTCAAGATTGCCTCCTTAATGTATGTAAGACAAAATCAATCCTCGTACCACATTATAAATGCATGCTAGGGGAACCTTGGACAATATGAACACCAACTTAACTGTTGGATTGTCAACAACCTACTCTAACTGTTGCACCCAAATCGTCAATTTACATCCCGTAGAGTTTACCTAAGATCTTCACCACTTGTTATGACACCACTTTTTAATTAGTTTTACGCCGCCATTAACTAGCACTAATACCAATTGTGATGAGATAGGAATTCAATATAATAAAACAAAATAGAATAGAAAGATATAAAATGGTTTCGATACAACGTACCAATGTTGGCATACTATACCTTCATATATGGACCAAAAAGTTACACCAATGTATTTATTCACTAAAAATCGTGGAAGCGACAACATAATACTCAACCTTTTTTAGATGGATAAAATAATTTCACCTAACCATGATCAGATACATCAGATCATTAATAAACATATTCAAGGTTTGTTAGGACTCTTTTAATTCTTTTTCTATTTGATTAGGGGTTCTCGCATGTAATTACTAACAAACCAAAAAATACGAAGATGGATGAAGTGAAGGCTAGCATGGAGAATGGGTGCTCACTAGTGTCGTGCCCAAAGATAACGTGAAGAAGCCTAAGCATGTGCCCAAAGATAATGTGAAGTAGCCTAAGCCTGTGACTACTGAGATCTCTGGAATGAGATGATACTTTATCCAATTCTACTCAATGATAAATCATCTATCTTAAATTTAGGTAGAATTTGCTATTTATACATGAACTCTTCATCCATGCATATAGTTTTTGTAGGACCAACTATTTATAATTGGGTCCCCCATCCTTGTACTGTATGTTATCTACCATTGAGCATAATTTACTAAAAGCACAATGTAGAATATCTGGATCAGAGATCTCTGGCTAACTCCTGAATTTACAGTGCAAGAATCTCTGTTAAGTTCTCATCAAACTCAGCTACCAAGTAAATTAGATGATGTAGCATAGAATCTCATTCAAGAGTCTTGCATTGGATAGAATGGTAATACTATTTTATCATTGATATGTAATAACTCCAGTTAATTACAAGCAAACTTTTGAATTAGTGAACTCCTATAATCTAATATGCTAGTTGTTAAATATAGAAGTTAGAGTGGTTTTGAATTAAGTGGGATTAACATATTTTTTTTTCAGAAGGTAAAGTGTATTAAAAAACAGATATACAAGGGTAATCAGCCACAACTTGTACAATGAAGTCACGTAGGACTCAAAGACAGTCATAAAAAAAAAAACAAAAAAGCCAAAAAGCTCCAAAGTAAGTCATTTGAAGTAGCAAAAATCAGCACATACTATGCATTTCCTTGCAACCAAGATGGCTAGCAATCAAAACAGCAGCATCAAGCATGAAGCAGACAAGCCCAAGCACAACACAGCAGCAACAAGCATCCAGCCAACAGGCCCAAGCTCAAAAGGCAGAACAAAACAGAGATCGTTGCTCCAAGCACAACACAACGGCACAAAAAATAGTACAACACAGCAGCAGCAAGCATCAAGCAGATAGGCCAAAGCACATAAATCAAAACCAAAAACACAAAACAGAGATCCTTCTCAAGTTAAGAATTCTGAGAGAAGTATAGGCCTTGAGCCAGTACTTCCCCAAGAATCCCAAACCAAGATGGATGGAGGCAAGTCTTGTAAGTGTCAAAACATTGATGGAGCAAGCTTCAAATTCAGAACTAATGGAGGCATGTGTCAGGCAAGTTTCATTGTAATAAGGTAGAGGCATGAACATGGCTGCGCTTGAACTTCAAAATAAGGAGCCTCTCCCTAATAGACTGCTTAACCATCTTGGTGAGAATGTGAGAGTCAACAATTTGGTTTCTAAATATTCTAGCGTTTCTTTCCTTCCAAAGTTGATACACAGTAGTAGAGAGACTGATCTTCAAGATAATAGTGGTCATCTTCTTGCCTTTCCACTGCTGAGCAGCCCACTCAATAAAATCAGGCCATTGCCTTTGCTGACCATGTTGATTGCACTAAAGAAGAATGGAGTTCCAAACTCTAGAGGAGTAATCACATTCAAAGAAGAGGTGGTTGTGAGATTCATTAGCCTTTCTACACAAGATGCATTGAGTGTCAACTTCATTTGAGAAAGCTTGGATTCTATCTTTAGTGCTCAATCTCTTTTTAATAGCTAACCAAAGGATAAAGGCCATTTGAGGTATTGACTGGCCAAATCAAACCAAATTATGCTAAGAGACCATACTAGTTGCATTGCTCAAGTGCTCCCAAGCAGATTTGGTAGAGTAATTCCCATCAGTGGTAAGGGGCCATCTCACAAAATCATTTCTAGTTTGATCAAGAACGTAGGTTGACATGTTGTTAAAAATATCCTGTACGCACAGATGAGTAGAAGCAGTTATGTTCCATTGGTGGTTGGCATTAACTCTACTGACTCTTGCTTCCCTTGGAATTCTTACTTGTTACAATATATTAGAGCTGCTTCTTGGTAACAAGGGACCATATGGATGCTAGTTGTCATGCCTTGTGAGCTACCTATTCCATACAATGTGCACCATTATAGGTCTTAGGATTTCCCTGAGTTTTAAAAGGTTCCTCCAAGTGTGTGAGCAGGTTTGGGGAGTTTTGAGCTCCCTTAAGTTTCTATCCCTTATTTAGTAGGCATGTATCAATTGGGTCCATAAGTTTTCCTTGTCATTAAACAATTGCCATAGATGTCTCAGGAGCAAGGCATTGTTCCTTTCCTTCAACCCTTTTATACCCAGGTCACTCTCTCTTTTCGGCTTGCAAACATTATTCCATGCAACTTTAGCCCCAGTATATTTGAGCTCAGTGCCCTTCAAAATGAAAGTCCTCAAAGTTTGTTCAAGCTTGTCTAACACTTTCTGTGGTAAGCTCAAGTGGGTAGCCTAGAAGACAAGCATGCTACTAAGCACTGAAGTAACCAACTGAAGCCATCCTGCATAGGAAAGGAACTTGTTGGTCCAAGACTTAACCTTGTTTTCAACCTTTTCAATGAGGCCCATGAAGTGTTGAGCCTTAAGCTTGGTGGAAACCAGTGGAACTCCAAGGTATTTGATAGGTAAATCACCAATAGAGAACCCAAGAATCTTCATGATTAGTGATCCCTCCTCCTCAGGGACTGCACATAGATATATATTGCTCTTTTCAATATTGGGAAGTAATCTAGAGAGTTGGCCAAATTGATGAAGAGATCTCTTCAAGGTTTGAACAAAAGTCGCATCACCATGACAACATAACAACAAATCATCATCAAATGAGAGTTGAACCATTTTGAGCTTTGAGCATCTCCAATGAAACTTAAACTGGGGATTGGATTTTATGTTGTTCTATGTTATCAGGGATAGAAACTCCATTGCAATTATAAAAAGGTAGGGAGATAATGGATCTCCCTGTCTCAATCCTCTAAAATTTGAGAAGTAACCAGTAAGCTCACCATTCACATTAACCGAGAACTTGGCTGTAGTAATGCAGGCATGGATCCATTTCCTCATTGTCATTGGAAAATTAAAGGCTTCCAAAGCATCAAGCAGAAAATTCCACTGGACAGTGTCAAAGGCTTTCCAAATTGTCAACTTTAAGTGCACATCTGGGGGGGACCTGAATCTTTGTGGTAGTCTCTCATTAGCTCTTGAGTTAACAGGATGTTGTCCCCAATTCTTCTACCTTGGATGAAGGCAGCTTGGTTAGGATTGATAAGGTTTGGAAGACTTTTTTTGATCCTGTTAGCTATAAGCTTTGAGATAGCTTTATAAAGAGTGTTACGACATGAGATTGGTTTGAAATCCCCCATAGCTGAGGGGTTTGGATCTTTGGGGACCAAGGTGATGATTGTATTATTTAGCTCCCTAAGCAACTGTCCAGTAGTAAGGAACTCTTTAATAGCATCAGTAATATCATGCCCAATGATTGGCCAAGCTTTCTTAAAAAATAGAGCATTAAACCCATCTGGGCTAGGTGCTTTATGGTCATTAAGAGAGAAGATTACCTCCTCTATTTCTTCATTAAACACCTCTCTAACCATTTCGGCAGCAATGTGTGGGAAATTTTGCTTTGAACAACGGACTGCATACTAGCTCTTCGTTCTTGGACTGGGACAACAAATCTAGCTTGGCCAAATAAGTTGACATAGTAATTAACAGCTTCTTCCTTCACTGCAAGATCACCCTCTACCTTTGATCCATCCACCCTCTCGAGCATAAGAATCTTTTTCCTATTTCTTATACAATTCATTGTCTTGAAAAAATATGATGTGTTCCTGTCTCCTTCTTTGAGCCATTGGACTCTAGATTTCTGCTTGTAAAAAATTTCTTCATCTTTGGCTGCTTGAGAATAATCCTTCAGGAGCTGTATTTCTTCCTATCTCCATGCAGAATCAACAGGGTTAGTGTCCAGCTTTCTTTGGCATCTCATTAGAGATTCTCTTGCCTTTCTTGCTTTCATTGTAACATCCCCTACTTCCTTGATAATCCTTTTAAAAATAACTTTGAGACCTTTGATCTTGCTAACAACTTGAAACTGGTGACTTCCTTGTACATTTTGAGTCCAAATCTGCTGAACAAGGTCCAAAAAGTTAAACCTTGCTGCAATGTGGTTGAAAACTTTTAAGGGGCATTTTCTTTTGGGGAACCTTAGACCAATTTGAACAATTGCAGGGCCATGGTCAAAGACAACTGCAGGAAGAAAATCAGCCGTAGACATTTGGAATCTATTTGTTTAGGCTTCATTAACCAGAACTCTATCCATCTTTCTGGCTACAACGGCTTCCCCTTCTTTTCTGTTACTTCAAGTAAACTGAATCCCAGTATACCTTAGATCCATGAGTTCTGAATCTTGCAAACAAACATCAAAATCCTCCATTGATTGCACCAACTACTTTGACCTCCTGTAGTTTCACTTGGTGTTCTAATAGCGTTGAAGTCTCCTAAAACAACCCATGGTTCAGCGGCAACAACATTTGAATGGTGCCTAAGTCCCCTCCATAGAGTTCTCCTCTCTATGTCATCAATTGACCCATAGACAAAAGAAGCCAAAAATTGCGAGTTGCTATCAAAATGCTTGACCAAGCAATGTATCACTTGGTCAGTTTCCTCAATTTTATCAATATCCACTGTATTTGGGTTCCACCCAATCTAGATTCTTCCAAAATGATGGCTATCATAATTTTCCCGGTAATCCGAATTTCGAAACACATTATGCATCAACCTATCTTTATTCACACTCCTAACTTTTGTTTCAACAATTCCCAAAAGATCAAGTTGTTGTTCCACTATCAACTTCTTGGCTTCTTCTTGCTTTGAGGGCTTGTTAAGTCCTCTAATGTTACAGCATGCAAACTTCATTGAGGGGGTAGAACTTTCCTGAGAATTAGGTGCTCAGTCACCTTAGACTTCCCCATCTCATGGTCTTTCTTTTTCACTTTCTTCTTTTTGCTTCTCGGTGGATGTTTGTTTCCATTTGTTCTTTCCTTCACCTTAGTCACCTCATTGCAGATTGAAGTACAAGGTTGAGATTCAGCGGCTAAGTCCACGATGAGTTCACCTCCCTCTAGACTCAGGTCCGCAAATTTGTTCTTAGATGTAATCCTCCCAGTGTCCTGTTGGGGAGAGGCAACTTGCTTCACTATGATTTCTGTGACTTGAGAATTGACCTGAGGATACCCTTCAATCTCGTTACCAGGCACCAAATGGTTGTCTGCATCTCTCTTTTTATTAGTATCCACCATTTCAGAATCTAGCACTACAGATGCCACTGCTTTGCCCTTGTCTAAGCACAAGACAGATTGGTCTGCGCTCAAATTATGAATAGCAGCTTGCTCCTCCACATTATTCCTAGCCTTAGACATCATTTTGGGGCATAAGGACTCATTGTGCCCAAAAACTTTACATGTACTACACATCTTGGGTTTCCATTGGTATTCTACCTTTATTTCCACAGTTTCAACCATTCCATTGATATCCACATTCAAATCAAAGGCTTCAATTAATGGATTTCTAGCATTCACTTCAACACAGATTCTTGCAAAGTTTATTCTCTGTTTCTTGGATGTGGGCGTATGAGCATAAAGAGGCTTCCCTACGGCACTTGCTATGTAACTCAAGCCTTTCTCTTTCCAAAATTGGAGGGGAATATCATGGAGTTTAATCCACAATGGGATTATGGAGTGATTCTCCCTTGTTAACAAAAGGTTTGGTTGCCATTTCTGGAGTATTAATGGCCTACCTGATAGCAGCCAAGGGCTAGACTCAAAGATTTTTGTTCTAGATTCATCATTCATGAATTTGAAGTAGTAAAATCCATTGTCCTTTGCCAATACCTCCAAAAGACCATGACTATCTCACATTCTGTGTGCCAGGTAACTTATAATGGTAAAAGGAAACTTCCTTTCAATGAAGTATCCCACAAGACAGTTTTGTCATTCAAGACATCCTTGCCTACCAATTTCTTCAGGGGGTGGACCACAATTCTATTATTTCCCATTTTTGGCTCAAAAAATTGGAGTTTGATTACCTGGGTTTGGCTTTCTCTCTAATTGGCTGAGTGGTTAGCTGCTCGTCCTTCTTTAAGGACCTGGTTCCAAGATGCTCTAGGTCCGGGTTGTTTTTGCTGAGCCTCCAGCAGGTAAGGTTGAGACTTTGTCGAATATTGCTTGTCTTTTGGCAACATATCAACATCTACCGGCTTTCTTAAAGTTTCACCGCTAGATTTTGATTTGTCGACAGAAGGGGTTTCTCCAATCCCTCCTTTATTTGAACCTGTGCCTGCCCTGATTGTCCCATATCTCTTGAATGGCTTCCATGTAGGCCATTAGAGCTCAGCTCCTTTGTCCCATCTGGGATCACTTTGGCATTTACACGAGCATCTAGTAGCTCAGGATTGTTGCTTCCAGATCTGCTATCTAGCTTGGCTTTAATGGCAGTAGGGTGGGGGATAAAGAGGGGTTTTGGGTTTGTGAGAATGAGACAAGAGGGTAAGGGGTGAGAGAGTGAAAATGGGTTTCAATTTCTGCTTTGTGTGTTAGCTTGATCATGAGTTTGCGCTTAGTTGGTTAAGCCTGATCAAGTCCATGCTGCCTTGGTCAATTTGTCCGACAAAACTAAAATATTGTCAAATTATGTAAGACAATAGATCCATGAGGATGATCATGATTGGGAAAGGTAGATAGTGGGTTCTTAATTTTTGGATAGACTAATCTGTCTTGATCTGTTGATTGATCAACAGATCGTGATCTTGAGGCAACTATATTTAACACAAATCATTAAACTCTAGACTAAAGCAAGATATGTTTATTGAAATCTGAGAAAGATAACACACTGTGTCGTTTACAATTGATTTATTCCAAACAAAATAACATTCATTAGATATTAAAAAACATTTCAAACATTACAAAAATTAAAGTAAAACAATCTCCCAATTTAAGAGGAAGAATATGCAACAATGGGGCTTCTCACTTGATACACACCATCATCCCACACCAAAGAACCAGATAGCATATCGTTGCTTAGTGTTGCTGCGATCGTCACAACAAAGGATATTTTTTGCCCTATCGATTTGAATGAAAGAACACTGGGTTCAACTTGGATATTGAGTCCTGGTGGAGCGACCACAGTCGCCTTGTATGTAGACACAGGTGAACCGACGTTTGTGACTGTCCGATGGAAGTCACGAGTGACAGAGGTGTTGGCAGAAAGAGCAAAAGAAGGATAGTTTAGATCCCAAACGGTTCCATTATTGGTTGCAGTGCAAGTACTACTATTATCTCCAGTAACAAGTTTCAAATTCTGGGTTGTATAACCTTGCCCACATAAGAAATTTACGTAATCAGCCTCTCCTGCGTCGTATACCAAACCAGGATTTGTAGCTTTTACAGGATTAATGTGACCGGAGCCATATGCAAACTCAGCATCAGAGTTGGTAACTGCACTCAGAGGTGTAGCTGAAATAAGAAGCATAAGCAGTGTTATTTACGGATCGAAAAACTCGTATCGATTGCACTAAACTCCCACCAATAATTGTTTTCATTTGTATTACCAATAGATATAGGATTTTTTTTTTATTGTATCTAGGAAGCTTGAAATACTTAGTTCTCAAGTATTTTACTCATTTTTTAAAATTATTTTTGGAAAAGTAGATGAAATAGGAAGAAGTGAACTTTTCTTTTAATCTCCATTATGTTTTCAATGGAGCAAAATACAATATTGATCCCTAAAAGGTGCGTTCGTCTTGCTTTGATCCATTTTTTTCTATTACATCACCATAATCCTTGAAGTTTTTAATTTAACTATAAATAATGATGTGATTGAAAAAGACAATTTGAAATTATTAGCGAAAGTGGCCACATATGTATGGTGCAATTGGACATATGACCGCTTTTGCTAAAAATTTTAAGCTATCATTCTCAATTGGACCATTTATATTTCACCCTTCTAATTACTTTCTAGAATCCACATGCGACTAAGTGAATCACATCAAAGCATCTGGTATCTTTTTCATCTCTTTTCAGTAAATGTGTCTACCATCCTCGCATTGGACGCTCGACAGACTTCTCACGTTCGTCGTTGAGTTTTTATTTTAATTGATGTTTTCTGTTATTTTGTTCTGTGGGGATTTCCCACTTTATTTTTCTATTATTTATTTTTCATACTTTTGGTGGTGAGTCCCCACATTACTTTTGCTTTGACTTTCTTCCACTTCTGGAGGATTGGCTCTATGTTCTCCTCCCTTATACACTTTTCCTTTTAGTTATATATACTGGTAGAGGTCCTGCCAAACCCCCCACCCACACTTGGTAGCTTTGAAAAAAAGAAAAAAAATATATATTTATATATAGAATCTTGTAGTTTAAATGAACCTCCTCTCTCTTTGAAGAAGTTTGTTTAAGACATTTTATGATTGTTATATCCAACCCAATTACCTGTTGTCATAAGAGCAGACTTGATTGCTGCTGGAGACCATGTTGGGTGAAATGATTTAACATAAGCAGCAGCTCCAGTTGCATGGGGGCAAGACATGGATGTGCCAGAGATTATGTTATATGGAACGACTCTTGTATCTCCTTCTATTCCAGTCACAGTGGTAGCTAGTGACCACGCTGCAACTATGTCCACTCCAGGTGCAGTCAAATCAGGCTACACAAGAACAAAAGTTTGAGATCCAAGGGAGAAAATCGGAATTAATTCATTTAGTACCAAAATTTTTTTTTTTGCTAAATACTAAAATTTTTAGCTTATATTTCAATGTGCCGTAGATTATTATAAACCTATTTGCAAAGTATGCATTTTAATAAAAAACTTTGAAATTATGTTTCATAAACATGTTTTTACATTGAAAAGCATTGTTTCAACGCAATATTTTATATAAACTACGATAGATTAGAAAATAAGTTAGAAATCCTTATTGGGGGAAAAATTTGAAAATAATATAAAATAATAAAAAGTTGGACAAAATGGTGTATATAACTTACCTTGAGGATGTCACTGGTAATTGGATTTGGTCCCCTTGATGAAAAGGAAACTACAAATGGGGCTAATTTGTCTACAATCTCAGTGCTTTTAAGAATGGTTGCTGTTGGCTTCCTGCACAATTAGCATTATTTGAGTACTTAATCATATTCTAATTAGAAAATTAAGGAAAGAGATTGTCTACGAATATATACCCAGTTGAATTGATGTAGGCGGCTACTGAGCTTCCATCGCTCAAGGTTATATATGAAGTGGACAAGGGGAAAGAGAAAGCAACATCTTCAAAGCCTGAGTCTCGCATTATGGTACCAATTGCACCTGCACCTAATGCTCCTTCCCCATCATTCAACAGATCACAGAGAACGACTGTACCATTCACCAAAGTGGAGTCCAACGATCCTGGATAGCAGTACCTGCATTTTGTGATTAGGGTTTTCAATCAAATTGGTAGGACACTTATCAAATATGGATATTTTGTTCAGGTCGAAATGTTTATAGGCACGTCATGGGTACGAGTATCAAAAATAAATATGTTTCGGTATGAATAAATTGTGTTGCATATCTTTCCCTCTATAATTCACGTATAATGATATACAATAAAGAAAAATTCATATAGTTTTGAATAAGCGCGAGTGTTTCTTAAGTATTATATATTATCACAAGGTCGGAGCTACATAAGCTAGGTTTATTACAATTAATTTCTCAACAAAAAAATATTTCTAAACAAACCAACTAGTTAAACTTAAATGCTCATTTTAGTTTCTTTAATTAGTTGCGTTCACTTCGTGACTATACCATAAAATAATTCAAAAATTGACAGAAAATTGTACAAATGTGAAACATATTTTATTATAGATGTATGTTGACTATACCAATGTTTTATTTGTGAAGATTTTGTCATACCAGTATCCATAAATATATAATGTAGCTATATCCCATGCAGCAGCCCTATTGTCAAAGAAAACTGAATTTTATTTTTAAACGGAATCTACCGATTCTGTAAGTTATTTTTTCTGAGCATGTCTCCTTTCTTACCTGGATGTTGATCCATCATAGCCTGCGGTAGTGTTTGGCGCAGCACCACCATAAACTAAGGGGTACATCTCATTATTGAGATCAAAAGTGTTTATAGAGATTCCCTGCATGTGACAAATATAACTACTTTAGGACGATCCAAGATGGGTCAAATGTAACAGAAGTGAACACTCAACACTCTACTCACCTGATAACTTCCATTGTTACCCAGCACCACTGCGGTCTCAAACTTCCTGTCTATGGTGCTTGCAGCAACTGAAAGGGACCATGGTGAAAAATTTGAGATTGTTCCAGGACTAGGACCCGAATTACCGGCAGAATTGGATGTTAGTATTCCATTCTTCATGGAATGGAAAGCTCCAATGGCGATCGTATCCTCAAAATAATCCAAAGGAATGACACCCCCAACTGAGAGAGAGATTATGTCAACTCCATCTGCGATTGCATCGTCGAATGCTGCAAGAATATCGGCATCAGAACAGCCATCGGACCAACAGATCTTGTAGACGGCAAGGCGGGCAGAAGGAACACCTCCACGGGCGGTTCCCATGGCGAGGCCCAGCAAACTAGCGTTGCTTACTAGGCCTCCGGCTGCTGTAGATGCTGTGTGTGTGCCATGGCCCTCGGAGTCTCTTGGTGAATCAAAATCTTCTTTACCTACTTTTCCTTCACTTCGATAGTATCTAGCTCCAATGATTTTGCTGCAAATTATTCAAACTTCTATGAACAAAGTCTGTCCAAATTAGCACGGGTTGATTTACAGTGGAGGCAGATGGAACACCAAAAAAGTTTGGGGTTAGTTTAAAATTTTTGTGGTAGTTTTATATTTGAGAAAATAATGAATTTTTTTTTATTAATTAATAAAATTACAGTTAAATTTCTCTAGTCCGAGTCAATTTCACAATTCTTTTTTCAATCTTTTCGAAGTCTGTAGTTTTCTTTATTCCTCAATAACATCATTCCAAATTATCAACCAATAAATTTGTTAATGACTTTTGGATTACTCCCATTTGAAAAAAAAATTCTAATTCCGCCCCAGGATGGTGGGTTGCATGACTATGTACACGTGTGTGTATGCTTTTTTCTTGGGTACGTGAAGGGCGAAAGAATTTACTTGTTGCAAGTGAAATTAGCTGAGGATTGGCAAGTGCCCTTCCATTTACTTGGAGGTGGGCCAAAATTTGAGTCATCAAAACTATCAGATTCGGGCCATATTCCAGTGTCAAGCATAGCCACAATAATATCACTTTCAACTGCAGTTTTTCTTCCAACTGACTGAAGGAAGCCCATGAAGTCCCAAGACCTTGTAGTATGAAGTTGCTTCTTTGTACTGGGGAACACAGACACTACACCCTCCATGCCTGAATGATAAAAGTTCCATTAGAAAAAGAAAATGAAATATTATACAGTTCAAATAATCTTAAAGGACTATATGTCACACACTTGCTATCTTCTTCCTTTCTTCCTCCGTTAGTTTTGCGACGAAACCATTAAAGCTCCTCTGGTAGCTGTGAAGTAGAGATTCGGACGCCCTACTGCTCAATGAATTCATTAGAGAAGTTACGTGATGATATAATTTGATGTGGTTTAATAGACATGCAACATATATCTTTTGTTTTTAAGGTACTAATTTCTTCCGGTTGGACATCGTGTTGTAAAAAATAAAACACCATAATCAATGCGTGGAGAAAGAAATTTCCCATGAAAAACATATATCAAATTTGCAAATGTGACATGTGGCTCTATTGGATTGAACTAGTATCCAAACTCAATTCTTCCCTTTAAAATATAACTTCTCTTGTCAAGAAGATGAAGTGTATATACACAGTTAGCACAAGTCTGAATTATTTAATTTTCCTATTATCCCTCTAGGTTTCTCGGGATTGATAGTAAGTTGAATGAAGAATGAGAACATGTAACAAAAATGCAACTAATATGAATGTAAATAGAAAATAAAGTAAATGACCTGCCCACAACTTCTTGCAGCATGCTAATGTGAAGAGATGATGCCGAGAAATCGCCTTTTGGACGGTCACCCATGTACACAATGTATACCTGCAATCCACAAATACTTAGTACCTAAAGAGGCATTTTTCTAAATGAGTTATCTTTTTGTCGTTAACACAGGACGTGTTAAGGTTTATTTTGCATGCGGAAACCTTATTTCCGCATACGATATAAGGCGGTGAGAGTGTCGTTCACTGTGTTGCTCCTCTTTTTAATATTGTGGTTCATTCCACCATGGGATCCTAAGCCACGAGAATAAAGTTTTCTCCGTAGTTAATACAGCTAGATAATTGATTCAGTGTTGACAAGCCCTTTTAAAGAAGAAAAATGTCATGAATTCAAAACGAAAGAAAAAAAAAAAAAAGACCACATTGACGACAACTCTCTTCATGGCAGCAACAAGTTATAAAATCCAAACCTTTTGATCATCATCAGAAGCTGTAGTGCAGCTAATAAGCAAAGCACACGTAAGGCTTATCAGGAGAAACAGTGGAAGAAGAAATGCTTGACCGGCCATTGCAGGGTTCTACCCAAAAGCTTGAGTGGTAATGAGGAGTTATAAGCAACAATCAATAGACTTTATATAGCAAGGGTGGAAGTTAAACAACTGCATTGTGCTCTCAAAATGGCTAATTGTTTTACCCGCCACCAAACACAACCATCCCAAGCCGGCCTAAAACAATGATTTTTGGCTGAAATAGTCTTATTTCCATAGACTTAAGAGACATCAATATTTCCTTTACAATGTGTCTTAATTATATTATTTTAAAACAGAGGAAATGGAGATGTGAGTTACAAGATAGATATTGTGGAATTGTTTGTTCAGCTGTATGGATTGATTTGTTACAGCTGCAGTCGTAAGAACCCACGAAAACTAACAAGCCTAAGATCAAGTACCACTTCTGAAAAAATTCTAATCTTTCGATGAGTGAATGAGAGCTTATCAAAATATGCATGTATCCCTTGTGTATCTTCATAAAGAAAATATCTACTACTGCCATTTGTACCTAGTAAAATCGAACTAAATAGTGGCATTGACATGATGATTCTATAGCATTATTGTAATTGTTGAGTTTTTTCATTAGGACTCTATTACTTAATACATTATTATGTCAATAAATCAGATCAAATTCTTAAATTTCATAGCATTACTCCTAACAATCAGAGAATTTCTAGTGAAACCATTTCTCAGGAATTATTGCGATAGTTCTATTCATTTCACTGAATTAAACCCAAAAGGTATCACGACCTGGAGTCTATAATGTTAGCATCGATTCTAACTTTTTTTGAGTTGTAAATTGATTCTTTTAATTATCAATTGTTTATTTTGAATAATAATTTGACATCAAATGAATTATAATAAACCCTTGTTATTTTAATCTGGGAACTGTACCGAAGTTTGTACAGTAGTGTAAGGCTAAAACTGCCAAAAGTGTGGACAAAGATTGGGCTAATTGGTTTCGTTACGCTCGGTGAGTTTTAGATCAAATGACTATGTTGAGACAGCCATTGTTGCCGGAATTCACTACTTTGGAGGACTCATGACGGCAACTTTGGCGCATTGTTCATCTAGATGCACAAAGATATATACATTGAGATTCACCCATCCTAGCTTGTCAATGGATCGGTTGCGAGTCGAATTCGATATAAATCGATATTCCTGGTCTATTATTTAAATTTAAATTTGAACTCATCAAATTATATTTCATGGATTAGGGTTTTTGAATATATCAATATTTGATTCAATTTTGTTTAGATCTGAAATATATGTACTTATATAAAATATGTGTATATAATAATACTGAGTGATTATTTGATTAAAGTCAGATTGAAATTAAGATCTAATTTACTAGAATCCGATTCTAAATGAGTTGTTCGGATAACATTGGATTATTGGATTGAATATTTGAGTTTTGTTAGATTCTATATGATATTAAAGTANTAAAATCCAAACCTTTTGATCATCATCAGAAGCTGTAGTGCAGCTAATAAGCAAAGCACACGTAAGGCTTATCAGGAGAAACAGTGGAAGAAGAAATGCTTGACCGGCCATTGCAGGGTTCTACCCAAAAGCTTGAGTGGTAATGAGGAGTTATAAGCAACAATCAATAGACTTTATATAGCAAGGGTGGAAGTTAAACAACTGCATTGTGCTCTCAAAATGGCTAATTGTTTTACCCGCCACCAAACACAACCATCCCAAGCCGGCCTAAAACAATGATTTTTGGCTGAAATAGTCTTATTTCCATAGACTTAAGAGACATCAATATTTCCTTTACAATGTGTCTTAATTATATTATTTTAAAACAGAGGAAATGGAGATGTGAGTTACAAGATAGATATTGTGGAATTGTTTGTTCAGCTGTATGGATTGATTTGTTACAGCTGCAGTCGTAAGAACCCACGAAAACTAACAAGCCTAAGATCAAGTACCACTTCTGAAAAAATTCTAATCTTTCGATGAGTGAATGAGAGCTTATCAAAATATGCATGTATCCCTTGTGTATCTTCATAAAGAAAATATCTACTACTGCCATTTGTACCTAGTAAAATCGAACTAAATAGTGGCATTGACATGATGATTCTATAGCATTATTGTAATTGTTGAGTTTTTTCATTAGGACTCTATTACTTAATACATTATTATGTCAATAAATCAGATCAAATTCTTAAATTTCATAGCATTACTCCTAACAATCAGAGAATTTCTAGTGAAACCATTTCTCAGGAATTATTGCGATAGTTCTATTCATTTCACTGAATTAAACCCAAAAGGTATCACGACCTGGAGTCTATAATGTTAGCATCGATTCTAACTTTTTTTGAGTTGTAAATTGATTCTTTTAATTATCAATTGTTTATTTTGAATAATAATTTGACATCAAATGAATTATAATAAACCCTTGTTATTTTAATCTGGGAACTGTACCGAAGTTTGTACAGTAGTGTAAGGCTAAAACTGCCAAAAGTGTGGACAAAGATTGGGCTAATTGGTTTCGTTACGCTCGGTGAGTTTTAGATCAAATGACTATGTTGAGACAGCCATTGTTGCCGGAATTCACTACTTTGGAGGACTCATGACGGCAACTTTGGCGCATTGTTCATCTAGATGCACAAAGATATATACATTGAGATTCACCCATCCTAGCTTGTCAATGGATCGGTTGCGAGTCGAATTCGATATAAATCGATATTCCTGGTCTATTATTTAAATTTAAATTTGAACTCATCAAATTATATTTCATGGATTAGGGTTTTTGAATATATCAATATTTGATTCAATTTTGTTTAGATCTGAAATATATGTACTTATATAAAATATGTGTATATAATAATACTGAGTGATTATTTGATTAAAGTCAGATTGAAATTAAGATCTAATTTACTAGAATCCGATTCTAAATGAGTTGTTCGGATAACATTGGATTATTGGATTGAATATTTGAGTTTTGTTAGATTCTATATGATATTAAAGTAATATCATTGGATGATTCGACTGGATTTGGAGGGGTATTCAAATCGAGTTCAAATTCAAATCAATTAAAATCTCATCTGAATTTTCGGGCCTAGAATGTCAAACTAAACCTAGTTTGGCCACTTTTAGTTTTACAATTACCATGATAATGTGATCATTTTGTACTTGATACCAATTAAATGTGAATTTATATCACCTTCATCATGGAATATGTTTGTACCTAGTATGTGGGGTTATTTACACGGTAGATTGTGTTAAAATTAATTTACTTAGTTAAGATTGAGCCCTAATTAAATTACCAAAGTTGGAACATGCCTAGTTGATCACTTTTGACTTTTTTAAGTGAGCGGGAGATGAAACATTGCTACACTAGTTATAACCCGTGCTTGAAAACAAGATGAAATATAAAATTTAAGCATTTAAAAAATTGATCCTACTATAACCAACTAAAAAAATTTTATTTCTTCGTTTCTTTCATTACATCATTTAAAATTAATTTTTACTTATTATTTTTTTAAAAAATAGCATTAAAATTTTCTCAAAATATATAATTCGATCAAATTTTTTCAACACGTGTACAATATCGTTTATGGACAATGTAAAAAATAAAAATTTTGTTAAATTACAAATTAATCAAATGTTAAATGATTGAACACGTAATAGATATAATTGGATGATGTGGTGTTTTTAGGGGAGAAATGTATAAGGGATAAACTTTCAAACTCTTATATGTTTTTTTATATAAATGTTAGAATTTATATATTTTGCCTTTCTATAAATGCTCTACTCAAGTCTCGTCTGCTCATAATTTAAATTAATTGTTAAATAACTCCTACTTGGATTATTATTCTTGTATATTAGTCAGATTGTCATATTTATATTCCTTTGTATATAAGCATATTGTTGTAAAATATCATGGGTTTTTTGTAGGTGGGTACACTATGTAGGACTTATCTATACTACTTATAAAAATACATTGTTGTGAAAAACTTTTGTTTTTTAATTTTATCCCTAATTAATACACTAATTTCCATTTTATCCTTCCTATCTATAGTAAAGTTGCATTTAATATATCAATTGGTAGTTGGACATAACTAGAACAATGTCATTTGGCCTCTTTATTTGATCCCTAATTTTGGTCAACGTAGCATTACTATTAATAAAGAGTTTAAATGATATGACAGCTGACTTGAAAGGCTAGGCTAAGTGTAGGGTTCTACCAAAAAGCTTAAGTGTTAATGAGGAGTTTCAAGCAACAATCAATACACTTTTATATAGCAAGGGTGGAAGATAAACAATTGCATTATGCTCTCATAATGGCAAATTGTTTTACCCGCCTCCAAACACAACCATCCAAAGCCGGCCTAAAACAATGCTTTTCGGCTGAAATCGTCTTATTCCATAGACTTAAGAGACATCAATATTTCATTTACAATGTGGCTTAATTGTAGAATTTTAAAACAGAGGAAATGGAGATGTTGAGTTACAGGATAGATATTGTGGAATTGTTTGTTCAGCTGTATAGATTCATTTGTTACAGCTGCCGTCTTAAGAGCCCGCGAAAACTAACAAGCCTAAGACCAACCACCACTACTAAAAAGGGCCTTAATCTTTCGAGAACTAGATGAGAGTTTATCAATCAATATTAACCTCTTGTGACAACCGTTGTGGTGTTTAGTCAAAATATGCATGTATCCCTTGTGTGTCTTCGTAAAAAAAAAAAAATTCTACTAATGCCATTTGTTCCTAAAAAATTGAACTAATTAAATTATGACATTGACACAATTACACAATTAAATTATTATGTCAACAAATCAAATCGATTTCTTAAGTTTCATAGCATTACTTTTAACAATCAGAGAATTTCTAATGAAGCCGTTGCTGAGGATTTATTGCGATAGTTCCATTCATTCCACAAAATTAAAGCTAAAGGGTATCAACTTATTACATATAAGGGTTAGGTTGCAAATTAGTCCGTCCGTTGAGTTGTTGTTCCATATATTATGACTTCTTACTGTTTGTTTCTAGCCATTGCTAACAAA